AAATCCTTGGGAAGCAGGAATCCATAAGGAGGAGGTACAGCCTGAGGGCTAAAAGCAGGAGCTTCCAAATCAGAAACAACTCAACTGGAATCCTGACTGTCACTCAACTGCCATAACATCTCTGGAAAGTTGACCATTCGGAATCTTAGATTTGTCACCTGTCATACAGATGATACAGGAACGCATGCCCTGTACTCAGATCTCCTGGGTCAAATTTGGGGCTCACTACGCTACCTATTCCTGTCTAGGTTCCTTTTCCTATAAAACAAGGAGGAGGATAGAGCAGTTATCGCATGATGAAAGTCAAAGGAGTTAATTGATGCAAATTGTCTACAACAATGTATGGTGAGCAAACAAGCTCTCAATAAATGTTGGTTATTTTTAGTGTTATTAACCTGTAGTGCGCGGTGAGAAATACGCAGCCTCCTGTTTGTAGGGAGGTAAGCATATAGCGGACGCTCAGAAACTGGTAACTGTTCCTGGGCTCTCCCGGGAGTCCCCAAACTACTGTTCAGCAGAATGCAATGTTTTCTACAGAAAGTATCTAACTCTGGGAATCAAGAACAGGGCATAAATTTATAATGAGGTAACAAAATAGGGCCAGCACAGGCCTTGCCTAATTCTTAGCCGTTACTTCTCTTGTCTCTTGAAGATTATCTAACAGCTTGCATGAACTAATATTTTTATCAATAGATTAAATATAAAAATATACCTCTGCGCTCGGTATTCCCTTTCGCTGGCCCTGCATATCACGTAAAGGGTGAAAATACTGAAGAAGATGCACTAAACTCGTCCACTTTCCCACTGGAGTTTAAACACGTCAGAGCTTTATAATCATTTCTAGAACATGAGCCAGCAGAAGGAGAAATGTGAACACGGGAGAACTGGTAAGTTTGGCCTCCTAGGATTTTCTCTTTCAGAGAGACATAAAACAATAACTGGTTTATAGCAATTCATAAAGTATACATGGACCTGACATGCAGGTTAATGAGCGCCGTGTCTGTGCAGAGATGAGACTGTATCAATCCAGGCCCATTTTTATACACCTTTTCAAATTCTGAAGATGGGAAACTGATCACATTATTTACATGACTTTGTTTCCAACTAGGCTATTAGAAATAAAGAGGTTCTATATCCAAAATCAGTACACACAATCTAATAGGTGACCCAAGAGAAGAATGGAGTATTTCGAATCTGCACTTTCCTGGACCAAAAGCCTTAACAATTAAAGAGGATGACCTCTCCTTACTCAAAGCACTCTAATACTTGAAGTCACCTACCTAAGGACATCTTGTCATTGTGCCATGCCACACTGTGATAAAAACTGGATTTTAACCACTGACCTCTGGGGTGGTACACATCACGTTTGTTACTATTGCTATGAATTTATGATACGTGTGGTGTTCATATAAAATATGAAAGCAGATTCTTAAAAGCTTTCTCTTGACTCTGGGATGAACTTAAGAAACAGTTCATAGAAATTTCTTTTATCTCGTTGTCAGCATTAGCCTCCTCTATACATTTTCAACAATGGTTTCAATAAAGAAATGCGCCCAGATTTTAAGAAATGATCACTCTTCTCAAAAACCAGCTTAGTTGAAATGAAAACAATTTTATTAAACCATAAGCAAAATAAGCATTCTCTGGGGTTTTTAATTATTTCTCCCTTTGTGAAAATAAAAAGGGTTTCCATACACTCAGATGAAACAATGAAAGAAATGCAGAAGCAGAGTTGCCATTGTAAGAGTGAATTGTGCAATTTAAATGCAGCCAACCATTAGAAACATAGTTGACAATGGCCATGAGATACTCATTTTTTCAGTACACACTTATCTTGTGAATACCAAGATATTTTTAGCCAATTAGCTCGCTCAGTTGACAAAGCATCTCCTACCTCATTTAGATAATAAAGATGTAGCAGGGGAACTTCAGCAAATACACTGAGTTTATCGTGGCATGCAGACCAGGCAGAAACCAATCCTTCATAGGAAATAATGTATCCAAAGCAGTATCACACCGAGCAAAATTAGTGTAGCTGTTTGTTAAATGTAAAACACAAAGCCACTGGAGTTTTCCATTTATTTGAATATTTTGGTCAAGCCTCAAAAAGCAAATATGAAAAATTTAGTTGGAAAATTAAGTAAAAAAAGCTCCCTACCTTGTTTATCCTATTTTTGGCTAAAACTATTATTTTTGTTTTAAGACACTATCCTTTTATTCTAATTAAATAAATGTGCACATTCTTCAACCCTGATAAAAATACTTAAGAAGCTATTACTCTCATTATTCCTTATGAAATGAATTTAAGTATATAACAGGTGAAGCGTTGAAGAATTTGTGCGACTAAGAAAACTTAAAGAAAAAAGTGACAGAAATATTCACTAAAACCTATAGTGTCCTTGAAAGAGTAGTTTAAGTTTTTGTTGTCGCTGTTTGGTTTTTCAAGAAATAACACAGTTAGGATCGTAACGTGCTAAGAGACAAAGAATTTGGGGAATCTTTCAAGATCAACAATTCAATTTCCTGAAGACTCTAAATAATTTTCTTTTGTTTAATCATCAGAAATTTCTTGCCCTATGATAAGATCAATTATCGATTGTTAAGAACTCTAGTGTATTTTTTGAATAAACAAGAAAAAAAAATATTTGAAGGTTTTTAAAAATGGGAGTGCTATTGTTATGAGTCATTTCTTGCAGCTGCTCATCTCTTAGATCTATGATCTAAAGCCAGAAATTCAAGTGACAACAGCCCTGCTACTGAACTTGACTGGACTGAAAGGCAGTTAGGTCTTTGAACAAGATGGATCACTTTCATTAAAATAGAGGACAGCTATCTGGCCCAGACCTGCTGTCTCGCGAGGCTGGCCACCAGGTCTCCCAATCTCCCCCCTACTGGCCGCCCCTGCCTCCTTCATATTACCCCGTTCTCCTGGAGGCAGAATAGAAGGCTTGATCTGTGTTGTGAAATACACCAAATCACTCAAACAAGTGTTCACTTTTCAGAAGTCTTGTCAAAAATGTACAAAAATGGCCCTGGCCGGTTAGGCTCAGCAGTTAGAGCATCAGCCTACAGTCCAGAAAGACCCGGGTTCGGTTCCCGCTAAGGGCGGGTACCTCGGTTGCAGTTTGTCCCCGGCCCTGGTCGGTTGTGCGGGTGGCAGCCACTCGATGTGTCCCTTTCATGTAGATCTCTCTCTCTCTCTCTCTCTCTCTCTTTCTCTCTCTCTCTCTTCCTCTCCTTCCCACTCTATCTGGACAAAAAATGGAAAAATGTCCTCGGGTGAGGATAAAAAAATATATATACAAAAATGATTTTTTTTTTCCATTAAAAATAAAAGCTGGCTGGATGAAGGCTCGAGTAGTAAGAGTTACAGTCAATCAGTCAAGAGGTGCCTGGGCCTCGCTCCCTTTCTGAAGATGAGTTCATTCTGTATCTGAGGACTCTAGGGAAAGACAAGTATCACTTTACAGGTATTATCACACAAGATTCTTGAGTTTTCACACCTCTGTTTCTCAACACTTGAGAAAATAAAAATAAAAAATCTGGAATCCTTAACTTACAGCCCCTTTAGGTACATATGTACTAAAAGTTAAAATTTTAAAAGATAAATTATGCACAGTCAGGAGCACCGACCCACTCAGTTCCGGCGAGGCCGTGCAGCGACAGGAACTCTCGTCATTGCTGGGGGTGCAAACTGGTGCAGCCACTGGGAAGACAGTTGGACAATTCCTGACAAAACTAAATGTACTCTTCCTACACGATCCACTAGTTGAGCTCCTTGGTATTTACCCAAAGGTAAGAAAAGTTATGACTATACAAAAACTTGCACAAGATATTTATAGAAGCTTTATTCAGAATTGCCAAATCTCGGACGAAATCAAGACGTCCTTCTGTAGGCAATGGATAAATAAACTGTGGTATGTCCAGAAAATGGAATATTGTTCAGTGCTAAAAGGAAATGAGCCATCATGCCACGAAAATATAGAGAAGACATTTAGATGCAATAAAATTAAGTGAAAGAAGCCAATCTGAAACAGCTACATACCTTACGATTCTAACTATATGACCTTCTGAAAAAAAGCAACACTGTGGAGACAGTAAAAAGATCAGTGGTTGCCAGGGGTTAGAGGGGAAAGAAGGATGAATAGGTGGAACATGGAGGATTTTTAGGCAGTGAAAATACTCTGCATGATACTATAATAAAGGAGACCCATAAAATGCACAACACCAAAAGAGAATCCTAATGCAACCTATGGACTTTGGGTGATAATGTTGTGTCAGTGTAGGTTCATCAATGATAATAAAGGTACCACTCTGGCAAAAGATGTTGAAGAGGAGGGAGGCCATGCATTTGTGGAGGCAGGGAGAATATAAGAAATCTCTATACCTTCCATCACATTTTGCAGTGAGCCTAAAACTGCTCTAAAAATAAAGCCCATTAGAAAAAGAAAACAAACTATCGACACACAAAATTATATATAATTATTTTCTCAACGGATTATGCCTCAAAATAAAAGCATATCTCCATCTTCAAGACGGAAGAGTAAGCAGATAGTTTTGAGCTAACGGGACTGAAAGAGGCAAGAACCTGTAAGTGCCATCATGAAAACAAAGAAAAAAATTGCACATTAGGTCAGTCTCCAGCCCAAGGAGGAAATAAGTAGACACACACAGGGTTCCAGGAATGTTGAACAGCAACAAAGCCCAGCCACTGTACGAAAAGGAGTTCTGAACACCGTGTCTGTGTCACCAGACTTGACTGAGAGGCCCAGCTTTGCAACACTGAGCCCTGCGTCATCCGGGTGGTGAACGGCCAAGTCCTCAGCTCAGCTTCTTTACGTAAAAATTGGGTAAACAGCACTTACCTTACAGAATGAAAAATTTCATAGAACGATGTTCATAAAAGATTACAAAATATTTAATGATATAAGCAATGTACCTACAACTTGTGAACTTTATATACAAATAAGTAATCGATGTAAATAAATGGAATTTCTTACCAAGGTTGAATTCCAACGGTGGTTCATTTGGTGTCTTCTGAATACCTATAAATAATAGGTGAGAATTCAGATGAAAGATATTTAAGTCATTATCAAAAATATGTCCCTGAATATTACTCTTTCACCCTGCTCAGACCATATTACTACATTATATGGCAGAATGAATGAACTTAATTTATTACACGTATAAGCCATGGGTTCTCAGGGGAGGATGTAATATTTGTAGCAGAACTAGATATGGCTAAAACTTTGTATGATATGTTTAGCTCCATGGCCATAAAGAATCTCAGAAATATCGGAAGCTGTGGCAGATAGGAAACACTTTCCGCTGTATCTGTCTCTTTTGAATGCATGTAAACAGATGGAGTCTTCCCAAAAGGATGACCTCTCCAAACCACTCTTCCTCCTAGAGTTTTCTTTCAAACCACTCCAACCTGCTATACATAGTAAATTATTAATTAAAAGGATATCTCTAGTTCGTTTATGAAGGATATTATGCCGGTGGTTATGCTGCCAACTTAATTGATGGCTCAAATCAGCTTTCTTTTTTTTTTTTTCCTCACCTGAAGACATTTTTCCTTTTTTTTTGTTCAGATAGAGTAGGAGGGAGAGAGAGAGAGAGAGAGAGAGAGAGAGAGAGAAACATCGACGTGAAAGGGACACATCGAGTGGCTGCCTCCCGCACGACCAACCAGGGCCGGGGACAAACTGCAACCGAGGTACATGCCCTTAGCGGGAACCGAACCCGGGTCTCTCTGGACCACAGGCCGATGCTCTAACCGCTGAGCCAAACCGGCCAGGGCTCAAATCAGCTTTCTATTAAATGCCTCTCTTTCTTTTGTTGGAGATTTTGGAAAACTCTAAAAGCATGGCCCAGTGATGTAGGGTGAAGCGGAAGGGGAAGTGAGTCTGAGAGCAAAGCTGAGGGCATGGGAACATCTCCGGGTTAAAGGTCGAAAGACCAGGCTGTGTAAGTGCCAATGTGGCAGGTGGGTGCTCGGAGACCACACACAGTACAGGGGCTTCCTGAACGAGAGTGGATGAGGACTGAGATGCCATTTGTAACCACTGGTGGCTGGCCAAAGAGGCAAACCTAGATTATAGAAAAGTCAACCATTTGGCAGTAACTGTAAGAATACTATACAAATCCTTTCCTTGTTTATTTTTACCAGTAGCTTCATCCGATACAATTTAAACTTAATAGCATCGGTCATGCATATATTGTTAGAACCACCTCCTTGTATAAAAATCATCCATTTTTTTTATTTACAGAGTTCACAGTTTTTGCATGGTAACCATTTCATTTTTTTTTCTCCTGCTGACATTTAATGATGCTACGGTTAATAATTTTAGACTTTCCAAGAGAGATTAGAATGACAATCATTAGGTAGGTCTTTGTGCGTTTCGAATAGTGTGGATTTTTAAAAAGGTTATTAACAATGAACTCTGCTGTAAGCTCTGACAACCAAATTTCTCAAAAAATGCATCCAACCAATACCACTTTCTAAAGATTATTTTTCTAATGTAAATGAAATAAGAGGTTAGGCATATGTTTGCCAGGGTTAATCATTGGGCAACAGGACTCTTCTAAAAAGAAACAAAAAGACAGAATTCATGCTTAACAATAAAAAACCCAAACCCTAGAATTTTAAACATGAGGGGAAAACATACAATTCTTCCAGCGATTTTAATTTGTGAGCAGTACAACTCCCCATTGTAATGTTCAGAGGTACATCTTGCCCAAATCCCCACGGTGCTGTTCGTGCGACCTGGTGCCCACAGGTAGGGCAGTGACGGCCATGCAAGCATTTTCCCCAAAGCTGTCCACTTCAATGTCTTTGGTTTTAAGGAGACAGTGTCTATGCTCCAAAAAATAATTCCATGTGAGATTATGCAGATGCTAAATTGAAGGTGTACTTGAGAAGTATTTGCTAGTGTCTCAATATACATTCAAGCCCCTTGATTTTACCATTTGATATTTAATGGTTTCATGGATTATCATCTATCTTATAAAAGACAAGAAAAGATAAGAAGTACTTTGTAGACTCACAACCCCAGAAGAAGTAGTGCAAAGGAAAAAACTTTAGTTAATCTTATGCCATTTGTTAGAACCCCGGTTTCTGTGTGTTTGCTGGACCCAGTGTGCATTGTCAGAGGGCTCCCGGGAGGGGTACACACACACTTACCTGTCAACTGGAAGTCACCACTCTCATTTGCCTGGGGTGTGGGAAGGAAGTGTTGGCCTTCTTCTGATGTTCCTTCTTCTTTGATTTCCATGATCAACCTTCACAGTTATTTGTTTTTCCAACTCTTTGTACCCAAATGTCACTGTCAATGAATCCTGGTTTAATGCTGACGTATCTTCACACTGAAGACCTGCTATCCCACTCTGAAATTCTGCATTTAGGAAACATCAACAGCAAAAATGTCAATTACTCTAGAGTTCAGTCTAAAGCCAAGTCTGAAAGGCAGGTAAAGACTTTACCTGCCTGCCTATACCACTTCCACATTCCAGACCAATCCACCCAGTAAATGTACCAGGGCCTCTGGGTTAACCGAGTGTTTTCTCTGAAATTACTTTATCATATGAGGAAATTCTAAATCCTGAAAGGTATATTCTTTCTCTTCTAGTGCATTCTGTAAAATAGCAGAGAGCTACAGGGGATGCAAACTTAAATGCACTTAATTTAGCAGCAAGGACAGATAGCATCTTGTCGAGGTGTTATAATGTTTTGCCAAGGTGAATATTACGTTCATTCTTTCCATTAGAACTGCCCTTTATGCTCATGTCTCCAACCAGCCTTGTTAGAACATTACTCATGAGCACATAAAGATAATTTAACATGACACACTTCTTCCAAGATGAGCCAACAGGTTGTGCCAGGGACTCTCCAACCTCATCGTTATCCATAGGGCCTCTTGCTGCTCTGCCCGATAAAGGTTTAATTGTTTAATGATCGAGGTAGATGCTGAAAAGAATGAATAATAATCCTTAAAAGCTAAAGCTCAAGGGGAAATAAAAGCAATAGCAAAATGATGAAAATTTGCATGGGGAAAGAAAGCCTCTCCAAGAACTTAATACCCTGCTATATAGGCTCAAAGAGTTTCAAATCCATTTTGATATTTTAGCATGATATACATGACCAAGAATGAACTTGAAAAAAAAATCAATGTACTTTTAAATCAAGTGACCAGCTGAATTAAAATGTATAAAAATCTTTAAATGTCTACACAATGCTGTTTAATGAGATAGCGGCAACAGAGTTTGGGTTTGGAATACCGATTTGGTCTCCAACTTCACAAATCCACAGCCTTCTTCTTTGTTGTTTTGAACAAAGAACTTCATTTATAATTCAGCTCTAGTTTTTAGGATCATCTGGCAAAAATTAAATCCAGAAAGCATCTTGGATCTTTAGAAAACGATACAATAAACTTGCAGATAAATACACACTCTTCTTCTAAAGCTATAACCAGGAATACTTGCTGGGGTAAAGGGACATTGCACCATATTCTGTCAATTTGAAAATGAAATTTTGAATTAAGACAACGCTTTCTAATTTATTTTTTGACTATTTCAGTTTAGAAGTCTTTCTGATAAAGACAGACATGTATTCACTGTACCATTCCCTCAAGAACCTATGACAAGTGCACTAGCATGAGGGGTGACACCTGTGGAAGACTGACTGCCACGCACAATACTTAGACACAAGATGGGGTTCACTTCACTATACGTCTTGATGAAAGACTCAACCCTCAGTCCTGATTAGTCACCTTTAAACTGGAAAAGGAGACCTAGATAAGGGAATAGGAGTAAATCCTAACAAAATCACAACTCTGTACACTAATGGTGAATAATTAATAAAATAAACAAACTCTACAGGTAGGTGTGCGCACTTTGGAGGAGAGTGGATAGGACTGAAGATGCCTAAGAGGACTCGCTAGCATGGTCCCATTTTAAACAAAACATGACCCATTCTAAGCTATTCACTAACTGAAAAATAACTTCGATTTTAGAATGGAGCCACACATACAGAACAAGAATTCTGTGACAATTCTTATAATTCTATTCCTTTTCATTTGAGGACAAATTTCAGATTTGACACCTGTTACAAAGAACATGCCTCAGACGGAATCAGTCGCCTTGCCAGCAAATCTCTGGAAAACTACTGCGCTTCCACTTGACAAATACAGCTTTTACCTGCGGGCTGTTTCGGCACAACAGTTCCTGTCCATGTCTGTCTGGAAATGTTTGGTTTGGAAATCATGCACAAGAATGGACTGAAGTTTTTACATAGCACAGTGTATTTGCTTATTTATTTAAAAATTAATTTGTTGGGTGACATTGCTTAATAAAATTATATAGGTTTCAGTTGTACAATTCTATGATACATTATCTACATATTGTATTATGTTTACTATCCCAAGTCAAGTCTTCTTCTATCACCACTTAGCACCCCCATATCCTCTTCTACACCCCCCCTTCCCTCTGGTAATCATGTTGTTATCTGTGTCTATGAGGTTTTCGCATTTTGGGGTGTGTGTGTGGGTTTCTCCTTAATCCCATGCCACAATATATTTAAACCAGACATCTAGAGAGATTAAACTTAATTCTTAGAGCATAAAGAAACCACATTAAATATGCTTTAAGCAGGAGAATGACACGATCATATTTGATTTTTAGAAAGTTTACTGGTGTTTAAGTAGAGAATGTACTAGAAGCGGTCGGCCTGATGAGAATACAAAGTGTTTGAATGTTATACGTTTTTGTTTTGTTTTTTAAAAATATGCTTTTATTGATGTTTTAGAGAGGGGAAGGGAGAGAGAGATATAAATATCAATGTGAGAGAGAAACATCAATGGCTGCCTCCTGCACGCCCCCTACTGGGGATGGAGCCTGTAACCCAGGCATGTGCCCTGATGGGGAATCAAACTGGGACCTCTCAGTCCACGGGACAGCGCTCGATCCACTAAGCCACACTGGCTGGGCTGAGTGTTGTTTTAATATTCTAGAAAAATAAAATAATAATGAGGATCTAAGCAAAAATAAAAGCAAATGACTGGAGAGGAGAATCTGGATTCCAAAGCAAGGTGTTAAATAGAATTACCTGGCCATGGGGATGGCATTGGAGGTGATATTAGAGTTCAGGAAATGAAAGACTGAAATTCAGCTGAGACCCAGTGAATTATGGGCCAATAAACTATTCGGAGAATGAATCGGAGGAATGATAGTTGAGGATAATGAGTTTAATTTTAATCATGTTGTTTCTGAGTGACATCTTTAAATTTCTGAAAGAACAGAAACTGTCAACACAGAATCCCATACAAAGTAAAAATAAGTTGTGAAAACTAAGAGAAATAAAAACCTCTATTCAGATTAATAAAAACTAACAAATTCATTATCCACAGACCTGCAATTGCAAGAAAGGTTAAAGGAAGTCCTTCGCCCTGCCGGTGTGGCTCAGTGGTTGAGCATCAACCCATGCACCAAGAGGTTTCTGGTTTGATTCCCGGTCAGAGCACATGCCTGGGTTTCAGGCTCAATCCCCAGTGCGGGGTGTGCAGGAGACAGCTGGACGATGTTTCTCTCTCACATTGATGTTTCTATCTCTCTCTTCCTCTCTCTCTAAAAATCAAATATAAACTTTTTTTTTTAATGGTAAATTCTTCCAGCATAAAATAATACAGAGCTACTTGAATCTACAAAAGAAACGAAGAGCACTATCAATGGTATAAAGGAAAGTAAATGTTCATTTCATCTTTTCTTGCTTTTAATGACCATACAACCTAAAGCAGGACTTGGGTAGGTAGTAGATACTGCAGACTTTAGGGACTATACAGTTTGTCACAACCACTCAATTCTGCTGTTGTAGTCTGAAAGTGCCATTGACAAGCAAATAGGCATGGCCATGTTACAACAATACTTTATTTGCAAAACTAACTGGTATTTAGGATTTGGTCTTCAGGCCAGAGTTTGCCAATGATTAGTCAAGAGCAAAAATAGTAGCAATGTATTGTATGCTTATAGCATATATAAAAGAATAATATATAACATCAATAGCAAAAAGGATGGAAGGAAGGAAAGTTATTGTTCTATAGTTCTTACACTAAAAATTTATCACTAAAATATCAAATGTATATAGTAATTTCTAGGGTAAGCATTAATAATTTCAAAAATATAAGTACAAATAATAAGCCAATAGTGGAAATACAATGGAATAACAAACAAAAAAAGTGCAATACATCTAAAAGCAGGGAAAAAAATAAAATAAAACTAGTAAAATGTTTTTAACCCAACCACATCAATAATCTTATTAAATGCTAACAGTTTACACACATACACACACACACACACACCCTCATACACCAATTAAAAGACAGAGATTATCAATGTGGATTAAAAACCAAACAAACAAAAAGACCTGACTATATGCGTCACATAGGTGAAAGGTAAGAGGATTAAAATCTACATCATATAAATACCAATCAAAAGACAACTGAAGTGGCTGTATTAATATCACATAAAATAGATTCTACATCAAGGAATATCAGGAGGATGTTATATAATGAATAAAATGGCTAATTCGTCAAGAAGACGTGACCATCCTGAATGTAAATTCTCTGCTACAGAACTTCCCAACTCATGAAGCAAACCAAACAGAAAGGAGAAACCAAACCCACAGTGATACACCTGGAGACATCAACGTTTCTCTCAGTAAGGAGAGGATGAGCAGACAGAACATTAGACAGATACAGAAGGCCAAACAGCACTGCCAGAAACGTGACCTAATTGACATTTATAACACAAGTCATCCAACGACAACAGAATTACTGATTTTTTTCTTCAAAATATACATGGAACATTCACTAAGTTATATCCTAGCTCTAAAACAAACCTTAACAACTTTAAAATAATTAAAATAAAAACAAGTATATTTTCTGACCACAATAAAATTAAACTAGAAATAAAAAAGATACCTGGAAAACCCCCAAGTATTTGGAAATTAAATAACACAGTTCTAAATTATATATGTGTATATATATATATATTCTCATGTTATTCAGAGGTTATTCATGGGATTATACATACATACATACACATATTTGAATCAGAATGAAATCAGTATACTATATATTAAGATATGCTTGGGAAAAATTCATATTATTAAATGCTTATATTAGTAAAGATTTCAAATCAATGATCTAAGCTTTCACCATATAACTAGAAAATGAGCAAATTAAACCTAAAACAAGCAGAAGAAAGAAATAATGTGTGTTATATACATAACTGACGAATATTTGGTTTCCAGAATATATTTAAAATGTTATCAAAACAACCCAATGAAAAAACCTATCAAAATATGTAAATAGGTAATTCAAAAATATCAAACACAGATTGC